TTATCATACATGACGCTATTTGGGATACTCTAAATGTCTTGACAAATTTAAGCATCATAATTGTGTAGTTAAATTAATTTATTATCACGAACCAACCTGTATATATAATTTTGTCTTTCTAATTAATATGTACACCAAGCTGAATAATAAACTAATCTCATAAACGTTTTTGATATTGAAGATATTCTTTATCTCTCATAACCACATACAATTAGAGTCCGTTGTCTCATACTATACTATATACATTTTATAATGTTGAATAGACACACAAAATAATTTATAAATATATGTCAATATTTCGAATGATAAATTGATCTATATATTAGTGGATATTTCAAACATTTTCTTTCTGATCACTTATAACTCGAAAATTAAAGTATGTATGTATATGAATACAACGTAAACTGGCACATTTGTATGTAAAACAAATTATGAAACATATTAACTTAATCTTTATAATGTTGTTTTATAATGTTGCTGTCAAATAATTCTATCGGAATTGAAGCCAATGGTATATATGGCAAATCTTTTGGAAAATTATCGCATTACATATTTACATCTTGCAGAATAGCATAAAGTAGATAATTCAACAAAAATGTTTTATATCGAAGTGAAAAGATTCTAAAAAATCTTATATATATTTACTTGTAGGTATTTTATTCAGATATTTTGGCGCGTAGTTCAAATGATTATAAATATAGTATATATGCAAGTATATATATTGCAATTTAGATTGAATTATTTAAGCATTAAAGATCTAGCTTTGATTATGACCATTACTTCTATTTTTTACTATTGAATTTATTCAGATAATTTCTGTGAAAGAAAAAGAATAGGAATATGTGGCATTACTGCTCAGTTTTGGAACCTATTAAACGCTCATTTTTGCTTATCTTACGAAAAAATTAATTATTGCAAAATTAAATATTATTATAAGAATTTAAAATATTTGATAGAAGACTTATATTACTTGATAGTAAACACTTTTTAGTTTGTATTTATGTATTTAGTATGTATTTAAAGTTTTTTTTTATCTTTTGTTTAAGAAATATTATCTAAAAACAAAATGGGTTATGTCGATATTGGCGACCTTCCTCTAACATCGTGCAATTATTTTAAAATTAATATATTTAAGAATATTTTAATTAAATATATTATTTTTATTACCTAGAGTTATTTATATACATATATTTATATTGTTTTCAGTCTGAGATATTAGCAAAATCGAAAACAAAATGGCATTTATAAGAAAATAAAGTATAAAGTAAAGCTGAAACATTAGAATGTGATCGATTGTGAAATTGTAAAATTATGACACTGATAGAAGGTGTATCATTAAAATAATATTAAAATTAAATATGTTATAATTAATTTCAATTGCATTATATACGTAATGATATTTTTAATTTCATATATTGCTTATATTATCTAATTTTTTTTCTGCCGTAATGAGATTACCATAAATATATCCTAAAATTGGTACAATTGTGTCTTAATTGATTCATTTTGTAATATGTTTATTATAATGTAATATAATTTAGTAGATATTTTAAAATATCGCAAATTATTTTTACACTTTATTGTAGAGAGATTCTATATACATTCTAAATAAATTAATATAAAATTTTTTAAAAAGAACAAAACCTTAAGGAAATTGAATTTCGGTCAAATTAATTAAAAATTGAATATATTATAGATCCTGATAAAAAGTCTTTACAGGTACAACCCCTCATAATGAATTGTTTCATCTGTGCGAGTCATTTTTCAAAACGGGTTAGTACTACACAATACCTTATTTTCAATGAATACAGTGTACATTTCAATTCCTATGTCATTATTTGGATTTTCTATTTATATTTTTAAATAAAAAGTTATAAGGTTAATATTGACTTAATTGCTTTTCACAAAGCAATTCAGAGTACTTGATTATTATGAGTACCCTCGTCTCTCTCACAAATCGGGGTGCTTAAATTTCTAAAATTAAATTATTAATCTTAATATTTTTATAACTTTTTTGTAAGAAGCAATTAAGTCAATATTATTCTTATACTTTTTTTTTTACTTAAACATATATACAGAAATTGCAAATAATTACATAGGACTTTAAATTTAACAGTACTTTAAAATAAAATAAAGGTATATATTCACAAATAATCAGCACTTCCAAAAATCAATAACCTTGACATATGTAAAAGTCATGATCCTGAATAGCCTCCATCAAGTTTTAACCATCGCTCGTTATTCGTAAAAAGTTATTAAAAAAAAAGGTTTGAAAAATGATGTCTTTTTTTACTATATAGAACAAAAATTTTCTGCTTTAAAATATATTTTTTTACTGTTCGCGAAGCGACTTCCACTCCATCTTTCCTGCTTCAAAGGATGTGTACGTATTCGTGTACGTATGTGTGCGTGCATGCATGCACGCGTGTGTGCGCATATAACATCTTAGAAATAGTTTCACCGGCTCTTTTACAAATTCTTTATTTATTTAAAAAAAAAATTATCTACAAAATATTGAGAATATAATAAAATATTTTATTTATTTTTAATCACTATTACAAATATATTCGCTTGATCAGTAAATTATTCTTTAAATTTAATGATACTATTTAACTATCACGTAATTGTGCAATATTTGGAATAATGGAACGCTCACTGCATACAATGCATATTACTATTTACATTTGTCTTTATTTATTTGTCAGATGATATTGTGCAATCAGACAATTATTTATTTATTTATTACGTAAGAAATAAATGCAGTACTCATTATTTTATTAATTTTTTATTATTTAAGCAACACGATACGGAAGAAAACCAAATGCCGGTATTTTTTGCAGTTGATTCTTGTTATTTAGTATCTTAAGTATTAAAATGTCATAAACTAATCACAACTGAAGCATATGAATATCTTGAAATACATTACTTATGAATATTAGTCACTAGGACTATACACGCGAGTGGACGCGCGCGCCGACCCTGAGCGCTACATAGACAAGATCATTTATTTGTTAACTTTAACACACTCTCCTGCAAAAACTACTTGTTGGACGCAATTTTGCTAAAGAAAAAAGCTTGTTTGTTTTATCATAAAAAATCTTGTTCTGTACTTTGAATTTCGAATCATCCTGTATAATAAAAAAGACATTACTTTTTAAACTTTTTTTGTTTTGTTTGTGAACATATGCCAAAGTCATTGATTTTTTTATGTATAATATATTTATACCAAAGATGCTGATCTTTTATGTATATTTATTAAAATAAGATATTGTAGTATTAAACAGTTTTGAAAAATGACGCCTCTTAGAGGTGAAACAGTTCATTATAGAGAGTCATGCGGAGACTTTATTAAGATAACATATCAAATCTTCAGCCAATTCGACCGAAATTTAATTTTCATAAGGTATGTGAGCAGGATTCTTTCTTTAAATTTGCAATTCTTTGTAAAAAAATCCAACTTGTATAATATATGTTATATTATTTAATAATATATCTGCTGCTAATCATAGATTTTTCTGATGATAAGACGAATGTGATAATAATACAGCTCTATCCACCATGCTATATATTGTACCAATTTTGTAACACAACGAATGTTTCGAGAAGAAAGACAGACATTTTCCTAAGAATGCTTTGTGAAACCAATCTAAAATGATTCTATTATTTTTTATTTTAATTGTAAAATCTACGAAATTAATACAATGTTCCTCCTCTAACTCCGCAGTGAATTGCTCGAATGATATTTATTAAACGTATCTAAGATACTATTAAGTCTGTCTTTGGCAGCTGCCAACAGAATGTCATCTACGTATCGGTAGTAGATTGGTAATTCTAAATCGATACCAGCAAATGCTTTGCTTTCCAAGTCTTGCATAACAATATCGAAATGAATTCCTTTGAGTGCCATCTTTTCAAAATCGACATTAATTGAGATTCTAAATTCTTTACTAAGTTTTTGTTCACGATAGTATTAGGTGTTGGAATTAATTCGTAGCGTTTTACAAGTGATGGGAAGTACTTTCATTAATGTATTTTTTAATGCTCATGTGAAATAAATAACATTCTTTCATTAAAAACGCTACGAATTAATTCCAACACCTAATATATATCGACAGATCACTTAGAACATCATTCATTTTCCCTTTATAATCCGCCATACTCATTGCAACTATTATTACCTTTGTCCGCTTTCATAAAGGTGATATCCGGATTGTTTTTGCAATAATTTTTAGTTGATCTATATATTAATCTTTTGTCTATTAATCCTTTGTCTATTGTATTAAAATTAATTTGTAAATAAAGAAATCTATTCAGCTGTGAAACTAATGTGTGTCTAATCTTTGATATGCACTTATGTTCTTACTAACCGACTTATCCTCGAATCCTTGATAAACTCATACACTATTTTATCTTTATTGAGACCAATAGGAAGGCAAAAGCTTTCTCATAATTTTATAAACCTTTTCTGAAATATCTAATGAAATACGTATAAAGAACGCTCTTGATTACTATTTCTGTTGAGTTTTATATCAGTATTGATGTGAATTGTTAGGCAATTTGATAATTGTAATTTATTTTTATATTTGATTTTGATTTCTATCGTTGTTCCAAAAATCTAACTTTACACATCTACATGTATGTACGTTGTATCCATATAAATTGTACGTGTATGTAAGTTTGTACTGATATATAAAATAACGTAGTGTATTTAAAAATTATTGCGTTCTACTAAAAATTGATTCATGCTTTAAGAATCTCTAATGTAGAATATTAAACAAGTTTAATTAAAACTCTCTAAAAATACATATATTTTAATCAGTATTATATTATGACTTTATTTAAATGCATTCATTATATATTTATTATAACTAAAGAAATTATATTATACATAACGATTTTCAAAATTAAAGTACTTATATATAAAATGTTTACATATAAATAATTTTTTTTATGTTAGGTAACTTATGCAACAATAAATTATTCCGTAGGATTAAAAACTCTCACAACATACATGAGTGTGCGAAGGAAATGAAATGTGGAAATGTACTGAGTAAGTATGAAATATTAAACATTAAATATTAAATATTAAGTTAATATAAAAAAATAGTAGCATTTGATAAACAAAATTTGAGAAAAAGATTAACTCCTAAAAACTCCTACTTCTAATACAAATTTTATTAAACAAAATTGTTATTGACTTCATAGTTAATGTAGCAAAGACCGTAATTAGTTGTAACAATTTTTTTATTAGAATTTTTCCGAAATGATGTATACATTATCAAAATACCTGTGCACTGTGATGAAGTACATTTATAACTATAGATAATAAACTTTTTTCTAACTTGTGTCAATATCATTAAACATTAAAAATTAAAATTTTTCGTTAACAGATAAACTGTAACAACTTACACATTGTAAGGCAAGTTGTTACTGAGTTTGAGGCAAATTGTTATATTTACAATATTTTCTTAAATATTTACACGTAAGAACATATCAATTATGATTACAATGATCAAATTATGAAACATAAAATATTTTACATAGCATATTTATTTTAGAATACAAAACTGAAATTTACAAAAATATATTAATATAGATTTTTTCTTAAATCAATTATTGGACATTTGTCAATCAACTAAAAGAAAAGAAATTTGATCTTAAATTATTAATTTATTAAATTAATAGTAAATTAAAATCTAATTTCAGATTAAAAAATATAAATTTATTAAATATGTATTAATATATTTGATAGTTAATTATAATTAAGTAAAAATAATGTAACCTGATTTTAATACAACGTGCATTAAATTAAATTTTAATATAAATACTCGATAGTTTGGACTAAGTAATTTCAATTATAAAAACATTAAAAGTCAGTTTCAAGTAATTTAATTTTAGATGCGCGTGCGCGCACATACACGCGTGCGCGCGTGTCCCCACTCCTTCTATTTTTTTCTGACTTCTGCGGCGTAAATTCCAGCGCAACGCTATTTGCCGGAGTTAACCTATAGAAATATACAAAAAAGAAATATACAAAAAAAAATAAAATACCTTCAACATATGTATCCATTAAAACAGGTCTGTCCAGTTTGAATCAAAACGCAAACAATACAGTGTGAGTAAAATCTTAGGGACTGTAAAGTGTTGTTGGTAAATATCACTAAGATGCGTAACTTTACAGTCCCTGAAATCTTACGTGAAATCCGACGTGGAATTTTTTGCTTCGATGATTTTGCGTTTTGATTCCGGGGCTCAAATTTGATAGAATTGCAATAAAACAAAGCATTGCATAATGAAATATTTAATTCTAATAATAACGAAAATCACATAAATAGATGTTTCTACAGTCTAATTACAGTTACAAAACTAAGTGGAATAGCAGAATGCGTCACAAGGATTATCTATACTATTTATAAAAATGCTGCCCTCTTTGGCAACTAGAAGAATTATAACAATTTGTCTCTTATAACAACTAGCTCCCGTCTCTTCGAATTGAAAAGAAAATTATCACTATTGTAAAAAGTCTGCAAATTAAATCATATAAATAAATTGGAGCTATAAACAGATTAATTTTCAGCAAATTAATTTAAAAAACAAAAAAGAAAAAAGGCTACAAGCAAAAAAATTATTCAATTACATAGTTCATGTAAAATGTAAGTAACATAAATATTGGAACATAAGTGAAGAAAAACAATTATATTCTTTAGTTAAGATTTAATACAATGTGCTAACAATAACAAAACAGACGTTACAATCGCGATCGGATTATGAATGTTAACATCATATAGAATATAAACGTACGGGACAAAATAATTAGTCTCCTATTTTTCTATTACTTTATCTGTAAATAATATTTTAAACGGATATATAATTAATATGAAATTACTTTAAAAACTTTCAATATAGGATACCATGAAAAAATTATGGAAATGCTAAGATTTATAGAAAATTCATAAAAGATAATAACAATATAACGAATTGAAGAAAATTATCTAAAATATTTTGAATGGTATTATAGTTAAAGTATTTCAAGAGTACAATATGACATCTGTAAGAATCAAAATATCGCTAACATAAATTTAGAAATAAATAAATTCACTTAGAAATTAGTATTGATTTAAATAAAGTTATATTGGAGTTATATTGAAATTTAAATGTCATTCATAAATTTAATTGTAAGAACATATACATTTGAAATTATAATAATAAATTTGAAATTTATATTACAGTCGATCCCTTGAAGGATATTTTTGCATTGCATTGTGCACTGCAAAAAATTGGCGTGGTATGTATTTATTAAAAAAAAATTATATAATAATAAAAACACACACATACATACGCGTGCAGTGATTAGAATAGCTACATTAATTAATTTAATTTTGCTCATTTTTGCTAAGAATTTTTACATATTGTGCTTTTTATATATTGTATTATAATATACAATATTCTACTAAAACAAATTTATTATATTTAAATGTTAATAATTTAATAGCAATTTTTTATTATGTATTTTAATTAACATAAAGGAAATAAATTTAAAAGTAAATAAGAAAATTAATTTTTTAATTTTAAATTATGCTGTTTAATAATATAATAATAGTAAATCAATTATTTTTAGATTAACAAAGAAAATAGAATAGTCAAAAACAATGGTGTTGAATATTGCACAGCTGTTGTGTCTGAAAAGAATGTGGATTTATGCAAGAAAGAGGTTACGGACTGCATAGACAAAGGTAATCTAAATATATATATATATATATATTTTTTAATAAAGTTTATTTTTAAAACCAAATATAAGAGATTTTTATGAAATTTTGAATTAAATCTTATAATTTTCTATTTTTTTTTTTTAATTACAGAAAGTAAAAAGCTAGGATCCAACATAGACGAACTCCACCGTCAGATAAACTGTATTATAAAGAAGGGTATGAAGAATAACATTGACTGTAGTATGCATAACGTAAAAAAAAACGCATAAAAAAATTTTAACTTTATGCCAATATTGTATACGAAATAACTATTAATTATCTTATAATATACTCTACGATGTCTTTGTAATTATCTTTGTAATTATTTGTAGTTATTAAATTAGAATCAATATGTTGCACTAACAATAAAACATTATGCATAATGTTGTTTAAAATCATTTTCATTAAACCTTACTTTTCACATTGATCGTAAGCCGATAACTTTAGATTGTTATTGATAATAAACACAATTTTTTCAAATAAAAACTTTTATGAGCAATGTCCAATCCATGTACATACATTAAAAGTAAAAAATAAATTTTCATTATGATATATGTGCGTTATATTTAACTTTATGCCTTTATCATGTTTTCTAATTTCTATAGAAGAGAAACTAGAAAAGTTATAAAATTATATAGTTACACACATATTTCAGCTGGTATTTAATTAGGTATTAATATTTTGTACTTAAATTAGTAAATATACAATTAAATTTTCAATTTTTGCATTTGTAAATATGCAAAACAAATTCCTAGAATAATATTTATTTTTGAAATGTATATAATAACAAAGCAATGAATGTATACAACAACAAAGTAATGAATTTTATTAATTACTGAAGAACATTTGTCGAATTAATGAAAATATAGTATTAATATCGTTACAATATACTCGAGTGTAACAATATCCGCTAAATAGAATGTCAATGTATTGTCTATGTGATCGCTCGTTGTGTTGAATTGAATCTTGTTTTATGCAGGCATCAATAATAATAATATTGAGACAATAATTAAGACCCATATTAACGAACGTTTGCTGTGCGCTTGTTGATTAAAGATTGCTTTCAAATAAGACAGATAGATATAAATATAGATTGACAGATAGAGAAAGAAAGAAAGAGAGAGAAAGAGAGAGAGAGAGAGAGAGAGAGAGAGAGAGAGAGAGAGAGAGAGTGAAAGGGAGTGAGAGAGGAAGGGAGGAAAAGAAACTTTTCTTCTTTTTTGAATTATATTTTGCTAATCTGCGATAATTTATATATTTCGAAATACTATGTTTCCATCTTTTTTTTACATTTCTCACAGACCAGATAAAATTCTTTCACATTTTCGAACATTTCCTGAAAACAAAACCTTACAAATGCAATATAATCGATATCGCTCCGTTTTTTATTCAATGTAATGTGTTAAGAAACATAGTATGCATAACATATTAAAATATTACTGGTATCTATTAGGGGTACAAATAAATTCGTGCGGTTTTTTCTCGAAATTTGGGGCTTTATTGTGAAAAACCGGTTACAATGTAACCGGTCAGAGTCACTTCCAATGATAATGCAAGCTCTTCTTGCGTTTGACATGGATCTTCATCGAGTAATGCCTCTAATTCTGCGTCTTCAAACTTTTTTGGACATCCGGCACGCTCTTGGTCTTCCAAGTCAAAGTCACCACTCTTAAACCGTGCAAACCACTTCTGACACGTTCGCTCAGATAGAGCATGGTCACCATAAACTTTCACTAAAATACGATGACTTTCGGCAGCACTTTTCTTCATATTGAAGTAATGCAGTAAAACTCCCCGCAAAAACACTTTATTTGGTACAAAGTTCGACATATTTGACGAAGTAAAAATATTGTTGTTTACAATTCGAACAAATGACACATACTGAACTTAATACCTACTAATGACAGCTATCCAACGCATACTTAGAAATACGGAACGGTGGAATGAAACAGTAGTTACGCCATCTCTTTCAAAACCGCACGAATTTATTTGTACCCCTAGTTTACAGAAGTTTTCGAAGTTTTTTAAAAATGAATTATTAGAAAAATATTTTTCACTAAACAAAATTTTGAAACAAAAATGAGGTGTATTTTTAAAAAAAAAAAAGATATTCTCCTTAAAGAAAATCTTTTGGTATATCTAACTGAAGAATAAGAAAATCCTATGCATACCATTAATAGATTAGTTGATGTTTTATGTACCTTAGTATTAAAATTGATTATTTTTATGTAAATGTTAAAATGGTTGCGAATATTCTTATTACCCGCTCAGTGCTCATATCCTGGATAGATTAATATAAATATCCTTAGGAATAATATGAGCACAAAAAATTTTTTGTAAGAAATTATATAGAAATAAAATATTGAAATATATACATATTATATATATATATATATATATATATATACATGTATATACACGAAACATTTTATTAGAATAAATGCCAATCAAATGTTTGTTTAATATAACCAAAAATAATGTTATATTTATACATATTTAGTAAGTATTATCAAATGGTAACAGTTTGATAATACTTATTAAAAATTTGTAAAAGTATAATAATATTTTTTTGGTTATATTAATCAAATATTTGATTGGCATTATTTTACCGTTTAATAGCTATGCATACATTTAATAGTTATTATCAAACTTTAAGAAGGTCAACCATTGCTAAAAAAATGTACGCTAATGTAGAGTGATTGCTAATTATGGCAATACAACATATTTTATTGCTAGCATTACTATTGTATTGTTAATATTGTTATCTTATGTATTACCATCTATTGCACGCAATATTGCCAAGAATTGTTAACGTATTGCTATGTATTACTAGCATATTGCTAATACTGCTACTGCTAGCATTGCTATTGCATATTTTATTACTGTACTGTTGCAATATATATATTTCTAAAGAAAATGTATACTAATTGTCATAGTGGTTAAGCCCCTCGTCAGATTCTTTTTTCAGTATACGATAAGAAATAATAAAGATGCTCATAATACACGACCATGCATATCTATCAAAAAAACTCCCGTGTCTAATAAATCAATAATGGTCTCGGGACTTTACAATAGTTCAATATTGTTTATTTTACAAATATTAACATGCAGAACAAAATATCTTATCTCAATGTAGATTGGGATCTTATAAAGTTAAAGAAAAAAAGTGAAAGAAATAAAAAAATAACGTATCTACTTTAATATGATAAATATCCGAAGTACATAAAATTAGATCAAACTTTGCAGCATATTGAAATGTCGGGAAGACAGATGCATCTTTTTACAACAGTTGGCACTACTATTACTAACCGTTACAGAAATATAAAGAGTGCTCATATTACTTGCAGTGTTCATAATACTCGATCCTACCCTATATAATTCTAATTTAATTAATTTCATATTTATTCGTATGTTATTGTAAATCTCCCAAGCAAGCTGTCGTTATTTTGACATCGATGATTAGTCATTTTAAATTATTGACATCATATGACCTATTTAAGATGAAATAATGACGTCATCTTTTTGACCAATTAATGACGTCATTTAATTATGACGTTTTTACAATGTTATACTTAATGATGTCGAATAAAAGGCCAATTGTCGATGTATTAGTAACATTATTGGTGATCAATTAATAACATCATTTATTCATTTATTTCGTGTTCATAATACGAACATAATGTAAATGATGTATTTTTTTATGTCAATTTATGACATTGTGTGAGTGATAAGAAATATAAAAATTCACTTCGTCTCAGGAATCGTACAAATTCGTCATAAGAATAACTATAATTATAATGATGTTAAATAGACAACACCTTACTATCGTCAATAATACGAAAAAAATGTATTTTGGACGTCGACTTATATAAGGTTATGTATCTGTGACAAATCCACGTCATTTTTATGATGGTCGAATGTCATTTTAAACACATTTGTCATAAGAATGACTAATTAATGACGTTAAGTAGAAACATAAATAGACGACACCTGGACTATTTTACGTGAGCGCGCGATAGAAGTCTCTCAAATATTTCTTAAAAATATTTGTGAGACTTCTATCACAATGCATAACATAAAAATGCTGAAATTATGTAACTGCGTAATAAAAGTTTTATTTCAAAAGAGTTAATGTCACTTGCATATCCTTTAATCGTGTATTCAAAAAAACTATCAACGTATAAAACTACATTATTATCTACTTCGCTGTTTAACCACACGAACTTTGATAAAAATTTTGATAAATATTTATATGTATGTATAAGCGGACATATTTTCACATATAATTCGTCACAATTTGTATTTATTATTAAAAAAATCAAATTTTATGTTCATCCTTGAATGGAATGGCGCGTTTGACATATTCAAGTAATGATAAACATAAATAATAATAACAATTTGTTTTAGCGCATTAGGAAATTTATTATGTTTGATGTAGAGGAAAGTCGTTGATACCAACATAAGTCTCCTAAAATGATCCTCTTATTTCTCAGAAACTAACTTATTGCACTTCATTAATACTAATAAAATCATGATCTCTTAGTTTAAAAAAGTATAAATGCATAATTCGTATATTTGTGACTTGTTTCTATACGAAATCAACTAAAAACGAATTATACGAAAAATGAAATTTTTACGATTTTCTTTTGTAAATTGCATAATTTAAATAATAGTGATTACATTATTAATAATATTACGTCGTTTTAAATGTTTGTACATTTTTCTACATCAGTTTTATTTATATTATTTCCTTTCTTAGCTTTTCATAATATCTTTTCAGTTTTTCCATAATTTTAAATATAAAATCAGAGTGCAACGTAAATTGGCACACCTGTATGTAAAACAAATTATGAAACATATTGACTCAATCTTTGTAATGTTGCTTTATAATGCCAAATAATTCTATCGGAGTTGAAGCCAATGGTACATATGGCAAAGCTTTTGAAAAATTATCGCATTACATATTTACATCTTGCAGAACAGCATAAAGTAAATAAATATATAATTCAACAAAAATATTTTATATCGAAGTGAAAAGATTCTAGAAAATTTTATTACTTGTAGCTTATTCAGATATTTCGGTGCGTAGTTCAAATGATTATAAATATGGTACATATGCAAGTATATATATTGCAATTCAGATTGAATTATTTAAGTATTAAAAATCTAGCTTTTGACCGTTACGAATACAGTGCATTCCTACGTCATTATTTGGATTTTCTATTTATATTTCTAAGTAAAAAATTATAAAGTTAATATTGGCTTAATTGCTTTCCTCGAATCAGAGTACTTGATTATTGTGAATATCCTCGCCTCTCACAAATCGGGGTGCTTAAATTTCTAAAATCAAATTATCCATTTTGATATCTTTATAGCTTTTTTGTAAGAAGCAATCAAGTGAATATTATCCTTATATCTTTTTTTTACTTAAACATATATACATATATACTTAAACATATAATTACAAATAATGACATAGGAATCGTACTTGTTGAAAATAAAGGTAAATATTCACAAAAGGTCAGTATTTCCAAAAATCAACTTCAGCCAATTTGACCGAAATTCAATTATGCAAGGTCCTTTCTTTAAATTTCTAATTCTTTGTAAAAAAATTCAATTTATGTAAGAATTAAAAACATATTTTCTTAATTACGTCTTCGTTTCAAAATTAAATTTTTATTGTGGAACTGTAAATAGCAAAATACTTTTGAGGAAAGGATTTTATTCAAAGTAACAATTACAAATTTAATTTTGTCAAACAGAATATTTGATTTATAATTCATTTTTTTTTAATTTTTCAGACATGAATCACTATGTTAAAATTGAAACATTGAAAATTAACATAATTTTTACTAATTAAAAAAAGAGGAAATACTTGAATCCAAACTTGAAGTCTCTTTTAAAGCTTGAAGTTTCTTTTAAAATTAAAAATTTTTGTTTTTAGATCGTTATTTTACATTATACGAAAGCTTTAAAATCCTTTTTGGATCATCTCATTATGATTAATTTTGATGACGTTACGCTTTCTTGAAAATTGCTTATTTTTATATATCGGAATATATAATCTCTTTTTTTGACGTAGTTTTAAATTTATTATGTTATACACTTTACAATAAATTTATTATATTTTATTAATGTGATCAATAAAGATCAAAATGTTACTATGGTGATATTTTATTATTTTATGTGCAACGTTTTGACATAACATGGTCATATGTGTAATGTATTTGTGTGTAATATGCGCATGTCGTGTATGATATGTGCAATAAATATGAGTGTAAACGATTAACAATCACTTTGTAAGTGCATTATTGAGAATATATATATTGTCAAGATATTCTCCATGCACTACAAAAGAGACTCTCGTAACTTCTATACACGTCTTACCATTAGAAAATTTTAAAAAATGAAGATTTCCATACTTTTCATGTGCCTGCTAGCCGTAAGTATAAATTATATCTATTCTTAAATACATAGAGCAAAGTTTCCCAAATTTGTATAGATTGCGATCCACTTTTTAAAACTTTTTAATATCCGCGATGCATCTAGTTCATACATATGAGAAAGCGGGAGGGAGAATAAATTATATATGTCTATATTTATTTATATCATATTATTTACATCAGATTTTTCTTTCTTAATTTTTTCTTTCTTTTTTAAAATTTTTATTAAACATAATTTTATAAATCTTTTCTGAAATATCTAATGAAATATGTGTAAAGAACGATATTGTTGTACTATTTCTGTTGATTTTCATATCGGCAGTGATGCGAATTGTTAGGTTTAAATAGTTTGATAATTGTAATTTATTTCTATATTTGGTTTTGATTTCTATCCTTATTCCAAAAATTCAACTTTATACACACACACACACACACACACACACACACACACACATATATGTACATTGTGTACATATAAATTGTAATACGCGTATGTAAGTTTTTACTTACATTATATGAAATAAAGTATTTCAAAATTATTGCGTTTTACTGAAAATTGATTTATACTTTAAGAATTTCTGATGAAGAATATTAAACAAGTTTAATTAAAATTGTCTGGAAAAATAGATATATTTTAATAAGTATGAATATTATGTTATGATTTATTTAAATACACACATTAAATATTTATTATAGCTAAAAAAAATTATGTTATATATATGCATGTTTAACAATTTTCAAAATTAAAGTACTTATATATATAAAATATTTACATAAATACGATTAATTTTTTTTTATGTTAGGTAGCTTATGCTACTAATACAGAACCAAAAGGACATAAAGATTTTTGTCGCTACTTGGAATGCTGTTCGGACGAACTGCCATGTAAAAATATACCGTGTAAGTATGAAATATTAAACATTTAACATTGAATATTAAGTTATTATAAAAAATTGGTAGCATTTGACAAACAAAATTTAAGAAAAAGATTAATTTCTAAAAACTACTTCTAATTCAAATTTTATTAATCAAAATTGTCATTAGTTTTATAGTTAACATAGAGAAGATCGTGAGTAGCTGTTATAATTTTTTATTTGAATTTTTCCGGAATAATGTATACATTATCAAGATACCTATGCACTGATTCAAGTATATTTATAACTATAGGTAATAAACTTTTTTCTAACTTGTGTCAACATCATTAAACATTAAAAATCAAAATTTTCCGTTAATAGATAAATTGTAACAACTTGCACCATTGTAAGGCGAATTATTATCATTGAGCATAAGACAAATTGTTATATTTATAATATTTTCTCAAATATTTACGCGTAAGAGCATATCAATTACGATTACAATGATCGAATTATGAAATCAAACGTAAAACATTTTACGTGGAATATTTATTTTAGAATACAAAATTAAAATTTAAAAAATTTTTCTGAAATCAATTATTGAATATCTGTTAATCAATTAAAAGAAAAGAAATTTTTTTGACCTCAAATTATTAATTTATTAAATTAATAATCAATTAAAGTCTAATTTTAAGTAAAAAATACTAATTCATTAAATGTGCATTAATATATTGTATTAGATAATTAATTATAATCAATTAAAAATAATGTAACCAGATTTTAGAGTATAACTTTGTAAGTTTTATTTACTAATACTCAATAATTTAGCTAAGTACTTTTAACTATAGAAATATTAAAAGTCATTTTCAAATAATTTTATTTTAAATGAACATACACACGTGTGCGCGCGCAATTAAAGCAAACATAATATGAACCGTTTTCTCTGCAACAAATGTGAGTACTGGATGAAACAATGTTGTGTACTGGATGTACTGAATCCAATCGTTATCTAGTCTACTCCAATAGTCATTTTCTGACTTTGCTTCACTTGTTTTTTTTTATTTCTAAGAATTTTTTGCTTTTCTTCGATAAGTTTTTCTTATACTTTCTTTATATTTATTTCTTCTTTCTTTAATTACTTTTTAAGCGGAATTTATTGAAATAATAAATTTCGTCTCAGTAGGCCTTTTTCATTTTTTCTTGCTATAGAAGTTAGAGATGGTATGTAGTGGAAATGATGTGTAAAAAAATTATATATTTTTGTTTTACAAAAATCTAGCACTGCTATTGATAGGTGGTTATCTAAAACCAATATAGGGGATTTGGTAGAAAATGAAACATGTTTATGGATGTGTTCCATAAATTATAAAAAAGTGTTCTGTAATGCATCCACTAGGATGAGCAGCACAAATGCTTCCAATTGAACCTTGATTGATCGCTTAAAGATAACACAAAGAAAAATAAAAAGTGAATGAAGAAAATTACTAATCGCGTTGGCTGCTATTTCAGTAGTCACAGTTGTTCTTTCTTCTGCAGCAGATATTCTTCCTATTTATTTTTTTCTTTTCTCTGCAATCATATTGATTGGTTTTTGAATTTATTCATTCTTGTTTTGTCTACATTCCATACTTGATATTTGAAGTTGTGCTGTTGAAAGATAAAGGAGATCGGGACTAATAGATTGGGACTCATTTTTCAGTTTCGAATTTTTATAGATGAAAATAAGAGACTTATCGAAAAAATGAATTCTACACCAGTTACTACATACATTTGATACCTAATAATATTTTAATAATAAAGGGAAACTGATAATTAATACGAAAAATGCATTTTTCTAATGCATTCCATCTGATTCAACTTCTGGGATCGGGGTAATTTGACTAAGATTATTAAAATAAAGGTTAAGGTATTTTAAGTTACATCTTTGACATATTAATAAAACTTTTATAAAAATATATTTTAAACACAAACATTCACTTCGCAGGACAAAACAATGCTTCTTTTTGCAAAATTTATTTATTTCGTACAAAAACACGTCAAATGAGTCTAGTTTTCGAAATTGACATACATAAGGGAAACATAAGGGAACTAAACTTATAATATTTCTCACAAATCTCTTTAAAGGAATAAAATTTTGAGTAAGTACTATAAGAGTCATCACTAAATGAATCACATAGTTCCATGCTGTGGTTAATCTACTATCTCCATCCGTTTATTTTTTAAAAACATTAATAATAAACGATAACAAAGATATATAAACAAAAAAAATCTGTTGGACTTTATTAAGTAAGAACTACACTTACTATCTAAGGAAAAATCACATATCTCAGACAATCATATACGATTGTAAAACAAAAACTTTAAAAATAAAAATATTTACTTAGGTGCGATTTTTTAAAATTGTGGCATAACTTCTATCATAGATGTATTTGCAACAAGATGTTACAGTGAACTGAGCGGTAGTTGCTGCTGCGCGCTCAGACACGTTTACGCGTGTCTCGCGTGTTTTGTTTTTAATGTAGCCTCGATTATTCTACTTACCCCTATAGCCAACTGATCTCGGTCTCTTCTATCATAAAGAAAGACATTGTAAGAATTAAAGCTCATTGCTCTAGACAAGCTTGTTACTTCAGAAATTCGAAGAAAATTTAATATATCTTTTTAAAAAACTAAGAGCCAATTTTCAGATGCACATTATAATTTATCCTAAATAATTTTTAGGATGATTAATTTTAGAAACCCATACACATATTCATATGCGAGTAACTTTATATTTATGGTTGATAAACCGTAATATATTTTGCTGCACTCAACAATATTTTCAAGTTTTAATTCTAAATCGATACCTGCATTCCCTACCAATTTAACCATAGAAATAAATTTTTTAGTTTTTGCTTTTTTACACAGCGTTGCAATATTATCAAATTAATGTTATTCGTATCTTTGCTTTTGTAAGAGACAGAGAACTATCTCTAATTAAATTTCTTTTGTGGTTGTTGTATTATATGTTCTTACAAATTCTCTATCTGTTTTTCTTTTGTAAGATCGCACAATTCTGTAGAAAGAAACAAAAACGATTTTTACAAGGGAGTATGGAGTATGGAGTAAATTATTACATCGTAACATTTTAACATAATCGAGATGTAATAATTTGTTATTCGCCAGTTTTGATTCGAGAAAATAAAGACAAAAAACAAGTATATATATAACATTACTTTAAAATCCGAAGCGCCACTACGGTCTGATTAATATGTTGAATTAATATCTATATTTTCAAACAATTGAATTAATTTCAGAAATGATAATTACGTGCCGATATGGTTGTCGGTATTAAACGCAATTGATCTGAAATATTAATAATCCCCCTAAATTTCCCAAATTGATCTTAAAAAACTGTAATAAACTTATTGCGAAAAATATTGCCTCGGCCGGGAGTCGAATCCGGATCTCTTGCATTCCGTGCGAGCGTCCTGAGACTTTAGACTACCGAAACCTTAGCAATAATTCTTCACAATAACATATATAATTATATATACTGTTTACAAAAATGATGCTTTCTATGACAACTAGAAGAATTAATTATAACAATTTATTCCTTGTAACAACTCCAGTTTCTACTAATTAAAAAAAAAAATTGTCCCTATTGTTAAAAGTTAGCAAATTAATTTAATTTTATTAAAATTTAAAATTTTTACATTTAATATAAAGCAATGGCTTTTTAAACATTAAATTACATACATTTATGTAATATGTAAATAGAATCAAAACGAATTTATTTATGCTTTACAATATTTAAAGTGAGACAAAATAATTAGTCCCTTATTTTTCTATTACTTTATCTATAAATAATACTTTAAATGAGTAAATATTAATATGAAATTATTTTAAAAACTTCCAATACAGGAAAACAATAAAAAAATTATGAAAATTCTAAGTTCTTTCTTCTAAGAATTCTTTTTAAAAGATTCATAAAAAATAATAACAAATTGAAAGAAATTATCAACAATATTTTGAATGATATTATAATTGAAGTATTCCAAGAATACGACATCTCCAAGAATTGAAATACTGCTAACATAAATACAGTAATAAATAAATTTTCATAGAAATTAATATTGATTAAAACATAGTTATATTAGTGTTATATTGAAATTTAAGTGTTATTCGTGAATTTAATTGTGAGAACATACACATTTAAAATTATATTAATAAATATGTAATTTATATTACAGCCGCTAACATAATAAATATTGACGTATGGAAATGTATATTGCAAAGAGCTGGCGTGGTATGTATTAAAAACAGAAATTATATAGAAATAAAAACACACACACATACATAAACATATACATATATATGTGTGCGGTGATTACAATCTTTATCTATATTCTTAAATTAACTTAATTTTCTTATTTTATAAAAAATTTTTATATATTGTGCTTTCTACATATTGTACTATAATATCCATAAAAAATTTATCGTATTTAATGTAATGTTAATAATTTAATAGCAATTTTTTATAATGTATTTTAATTAGCATAAAGGAAGTAAATTTAAAATTAAATAAGAAAATAAATTTTTCAATTTTAAATTGTACTGTTTAATAGTATAATAATATACATTATTTTTAGATGAAAAATGATATGGTAGAACTTTCTATTTTTTTTTTTTTAAATTACAGAATGTAAGAAGATAGCACCCTATCTACCCGAGAGCAAATATTACATCTGTCAGCTATTATGTGTTATAAAGAAAGGGGTGATAGATAAGATTAAACAATGTAAGAAGAGCGCATAAAAAAATTATTTGCCGAAAATATTAATATCATTAATTATATAATTTTAACTTTATGCAAATATTGTATATGAAATAATTATCTGTACATTTATAACTCTACAATGTCTCTGTAATTATCGTAATTATTAAATTAGAATCAATATGTTGTATAACAATAAAACATCATGCATAATGTTGTTTATTTTTTTCAAACCGTTTTCATTAAACCTTACTTTTCACATTGATCGTAAGCCGATAATATACTACTTTAAATCATTGATAATAAATACAATTTTTTTCAAGTAAAAACTATTATGAGCAATATCCAATCTGTGTATATACATTAAATGTAAACAATAAATTTAAATTGTGATATATTGGGTCGGGGAAAAGTTTCTTCGTATTTAAAAAAATTTTTTTGCAAAAATTTTTCATTGGTTGCGAAATTTGGGTATTTATAATATTTGCTAGAGCAAGGTTTTATATAACACAACACATGGACGTCTTGTAGACGTCCATAGCACATCTTATTCGGACGTTCCAATGTCCAGACGACATATAAAAAATGTCTCGATGACGTTTGGCGGATATCTTTTGGACGTACAATGTATCACCTTTAGATGTCCAAATGAACATTGTTAAGATGTAAAATGCATTTTTTATAAACGTTATTTGGACATATCCCAACAAGAAATGATAATGGATCGAATCGATATCGATTATATTGTTTGCAAAATTGTATTGAAAATGAGATAAAGGTATTAAAATTTGGAATTATAAATAAAATTAACTAAATTGCCGAAAAATTATTTGAAAAATTGAAGATTTATACGATAAAATTGATATCTCTTAAACTCGATATAATAAATTAAAATATTGTTAGTAAAATACACATTTTTATTTTTGAGAAAGGCTGACATTTAAAAGACGTTCTCTATTGTTATGTAACTATATTAATTTCATTTATTAATATTATATTAGGTGTTGGAATTAATTCGTAGCGTTTTTTAATGAAAGAATGTTATTTATTTCACATGAGCATTAAAAAATACATTAATGAAAGTACTTCCCATCACTTGTAAAATGCTACGAATTAATTCCAACACCTAATATGTGCAATGTACTGTGTGCAATGCGTTATGTGCAATACGCTGTGAGCAATATTGTCGTGTGTGCAATACGTTGTATGTAAAACGGAAACGAAGGAAATGATGAAAAGCTTTCATGCACAGACTGTAGCGCTAATTGACGTTATGTATCATATATAGTGCATCACCAAGTAAAAGAGTTGATAAGCTGGCACTTTTTTAAATTTTCTCGGACTTGACGTTACGCTTGATCTTCATAGTAGATGAAAACCGACATATTCTCGCGAGTTGGAATGAAAATTGCAGAACTATGATACCGAAATAGCCACTTTGTATACGTGACGTAAGTTCCGTCCACGAAGAATGAGAAAATGAGAAATTACTTGGGAAGATACCCGCGCCTGCATAAAATTGTGTCCATATACGCCGGCAAAGAGAGATGATACTGTAATCAAACTCGGTGAATTTTTGAAGCTGCTGTTCTATTTGCTCCATTATTCATATGAATAACTATAATTATAATGATGTTAAATAGACGACACCTTGCTATCGTCAATAATACGAAAAAAACGTATTTTGGACGTCGATTTAACGTTATGTATCTGTAACAAATCCACGTAATTTTTGTGATGTTTGAACGTCATTTTAAACACATTTGTCATCAGAATGACTAATTAATGACATTAAATAGAAACGTAAATAGACAACACCTGGACTATTGTACGCGCGTGCGCGCAATAGAAATCTCTCAAATATTTCTTAGAAATATTTGTTCATACTCATTTTACTCATAAGTGATTGATATTATAGGTTTACTTCTAACAAAGGAATTTAAAATGAGATATCAATATAATGAAACTAAATTTATAAAGGAACATTTTAAATTTCAAACATAATTTTTCGACTGCTAACATTAGTTTTTTTTAAATTACTTTTTTGTAATTTGGAACATTCCTTTGTAAATTTAGTTTTAATATATTGGTGTCTCACTTTAATAAATTCCATCTTTCTTTAAATAATATTGTATTACATTTTGTATATATTCGTAATTTCTGATACTCGATTTTAAATTATGTTTCTATATGTATCTTTTTTTCTTTCCTCTTTATATTTATATTATAAAAATTACATTATTTTTAAAATTTTAAAGATATAGAAGTTCCATGTTAAATTTAGAATGAATTTATAAATCTTGTATAAAATAATTATTAAAAGAAATAACAACAATATATGATTATATACAGAATATTGCAATGATTGTAACATTATTTTAATCAAATAAATATTTTTATTATGATAGAATTTGTATATACGTTTATATATATATTTTTTAAATTAATTAATGTATTATTTTCGATGCAAAATTTATGGAAAGCAAAAAAAAAAATAAAATAAAACTGAATATAGGAACGCGATTGATTTTGAAATTCAAAGATACCGGAAGGTTTGTAGATATCGTCGTGTTTTCATCCATTGCTAATGCCAATGTTTCGTGAACATTGCTGTTTACTTCATCAGAGCGAGTTGCGCACTGATACTGAGTTCCTCTGGATGATTTTGAAATTATAAAATAATAGTACCGAAAGAAAGTAAATGTATCATTAAAATAAAATTGAAATTAATTATACATATTCCATATCCCCCAAGTTCTATTCTATCGTAATGAGATTACAATCCTAAGATTGATACACTTGTTCATCTTAAT